TATCCCTGTGGTGTTGAAGACCAGAGGTGAATCTTCTCAAGAGAGCGGTGCATACTCATGATGGAAGCGAACGTGAGCCTCATATAAGGTTTTGCCACCTCTGCTGTCCAGAAGGAATGAGATCGCTGTAAGTTCCATGGCTACCTGGCTTGCCAGGTTAGGCATTTGAATTTTCATATATGCATTGTACCTGGATGAGGTTCTAGGCGTTCTTTTATTCCCCAAACCCGACCCGGAGCCAGGCTTGACTTGTAAGAGCTTGGTCCACCAGGCTGTTGCTTCGAGCGGCCCCGCAGGCCCACATGTCTACTACAGCCTGGTTGGTCCGACACTTCCTGCAGGAAAGTGTCCAGTTTTTTTCTTGAAGATTTCCACTTTTGTTCCGGCAATATTATGGTCACTTGCATCTTGGAAGAGAAATGGTTTGCCAGAATGTCAGCCTTTTCCTGGTTGTTGGTTGCAACAGTCCCAACCTTGTGGTTTAGTGGTGGAGTTGTGTCTGCAGGTGAATATTTAGTTATGTATATATACAAGAAGGTACATTGGGTTTGTGAGGATACATAGCATGGTGTTAACATTCTTGTAAAGCCACTAGTACGCGCAGCGTTTCGGGCAGAGTATCCCTCATGTTCCGTATAGTGATCCCATATCCTGATCCCATATCCCTCAGATTCTTTTACGAACAACCACCAGACTTAGGATCCAACTCTTCCTGATGCAAGTTTTCTTTTTGTTTCTGATTCCCATCTGGAGACAGCCCACTTTTGAACTTCTTTCATTTGACGACACTCTTCCTTATGACTGCTCCTGTTGTAAGCGGAAGGATACCATTTATATCTCATTCGGGGTCTTGCTTTTGGCTTCAACCCGTCGTCGATAGCCAAAGATAACAAGCCTGGGTGGTCAGAGGGCTTGATCACCAGCTGCGGATGAGGAATGTACTTTTATTGAAGGTCCAGTATGTGACTAGTAAAGGTATTTGTCTGGGTGCTTACATCACCCTGGACCGAGACATTCCATTCCCTTGCTCCCAGCTCTGCGCGCTACAAAAATCAGCAGAGCAAGAATCAATTCAGATTGTCTGAATTGATTCTTGGCCCCGATCTATCGGGATACCTCATGTAGTGAAGACAGTCTGATTGACTGGTGAGCTAACATATCCCAGGGATCTACAATGGACTATACTTGCAGGTCAGTTAGTTACAACAGTATCAAGGGAAGAACTTGAGATGTGAGTTAGGAACGTCACACAATTTTCCAGATCGAATACTGGTAAGAAGTCGCCTGAATCCCTCTGTGTGAGATGCTGGTTGAGGCGGTCATCAGTTATAACGTTGTGAGAGTTATGTTGCATTAGTATGGAGTCAAGATTATCACTCAGGAACTTGTCTTGAGAAGCACTCTGCCATTAACGTCTGTATCTTGTTCACATGAGTATCGATGTTTTGGTATTTATGCATAAATAGAAAAATGTAAATTCTTAGTGAAGAGAGATAACAACGTCAGTGGCTTGGGCATGTACCGATTTGGTGAAGCAAAAGGTAAAGCGTCTCACGACGTATCCAAGAGAGACCGCCGGCAATCTTAGCCAAGTTCTCAGAGTGCTGTTATCCAAAATTGGATGCAAGACAAGAGGAATATGAGGAGGGTGAGTGTTTACCAAACTGTGTGACAGGTCACCAACATTAATAATGAAGCCTTTGGTGCTGGCGGACACCATGCTGGTGGATTGGTTCCTCGTGTCTGCTCCTTGTTTACTGTGTATGGAGGCTGCTCTGGTGGCTGCGACACTATCCGGTCACAATCGACTTGAGAATGGTCCAGGACGGACCGAAACGTTGTCGTCCCTTCACCTTCTAGTGTGTGGTCTGGTCAACTATCGTGCCATCACCTTTTGTCCTCTTTCCTTCTCTCTCTCTCTCTCTCTCTCTCTCTCTCTCTCTCTCTCTCTCCACCCCACTCCATCTCCTCGTTATTGCTTATCTCCCACTTAGGTTATCAGTGCTCTAAGGTTCCATTCCTTGAGGAGGAGAGGGAGGTTAAGGAGAAATTCTCAGCCCTGGAGCTATTTATGTGCGGTTCTGAACTAAAGTAAACTGCGTTTATGTACACTGACAAGTGTGGTACACTTCGTGGTGTACATAACCCTCTACCGTTTGGTCTGGTGTAAAGTTTAAGGTCTATTAACCTCAGAATGTTTATTATGTGTATTAAAGCCACCCTTTGCTTACTGCCCAACCAGCACAAAATACTTCAGTCCTGAACAAAGTCCAGGACTATATTAAACTTTCCGTGTATACACCAGGAAGCAGGTCACTCACTGGACGGTTACCAAGGCAGCAGCCTCAGCTTACTCACCGTGCATGAAGAATACTTTCCCAGCTTACTCATAGTGTATGAAGAATACTTTCACAACTTACTCACCGTGCATGAAGAATACTTTCACCCCGATCATATTCAAGGAGCACAACAAACTCACAGTGAATATACAGAGAGCAGCAGGGATATGCACACTTTTCGGCGTGTATATCCACGCCTTTGTATATACACACACCGACCCAAACCCAACTATAAAAACATATTCTCATTTATCTCATTATATGAGCTTCGTATAATGTAATTATTCTGATTCGGAAAACTCTAGATTAATCTTCATTATAATTATATTTCAAATGCTTACTAAACCTAGACCAAAAAAGTGTCTTGAATAATAATTAAGGTACAAAATATAATTGTTTAAAGTGTCTCAAGTATAATTAGTTGACCCAGCATCTAAACCTCTCTACCCCACAAATTTTGTTCTCTAACACATTTTGAAATTGAATACGTAAGCCTGTTACATACATTAATGACATTAATTAACCATTTTTTAGTGTTATTTCAAAATAAATAGTTTGACAAACGAATATATAAATATTTTTTTATTGCATAATGAAATTATACATATTGACTACAATACATTGGATTATAGAGATAACAAATAATAATTACTGATGACATGAAGGTGAAACTCAACAAGAATTGTAATAATTGTTGTGTGATAAGGGTTATGGGGTCATGGTGGTGTTGGTCAAGCAGGTGTTGGTCAAGCAGGTGTTGGTCATGCAGGTGTTGGTCATGCAGGTGTTGGTCAAGCAGGTGTTGGTCAAACAGGTGTTGGTCAAGCAGGTGTTGGTCGAGCAGGTGTTGGTCAAGCAGGTGTTGGTCATGCAGGTGTTGGTCAAGCAGGTGTTGGTCAAGCAGGTGTTGGTCAAGCAGGTGTTGGTCAAGCAGGTGTTGGTCAAGCAGGTGTTGGTCAAGCAGGTGTTGGTCAAGCAGGTGTTGGTCAAGCAGGTGTTGGTCAAGCAGGTGTTGGTCAAGCAGGTGTTGGTCAAGCAGGTGTTGGTCGAGCAGGTGTTGGTCGAGCAGGTGTTGGTCAAGCAAGTGTTGGTCAAGCAAGGATTGAGTAGTGCAGATCTTGATTATACTGTTGAAGTCCAACCTAATAAAAGTCCCATCGCTTGTGTCCCACAGCTTTGGGGCCCACAGGTTAAGTCCCACAGCTTTGGGGCCCACAGGCGAAGTCCCACAGCTTTGGGGCCCACAGGCGAAGTCCCACAGCTTTGGGGCCCACAGGTGAAGTCCCACAACCGGACCCCCCTCCACAGAGCATTGATGCTAAGGGGAACCACCCACCATTGATGACAGTATACATAATGACGTTTATAACGGAGTTCACCAAATGTATTGATATCAGAATGAATGGTAATGGGTTCCAACACAATGTATATAACTGAAACCCATACAAATGTTCACAATTAGGATTGATAAGAGAATTCCACAGTCGGTTGATACTAAAGGTCTTTACACTGTTAATAATATGGGTCTTTAAACTGTTGATAACAGGGATCTATAAGTCCTGAAAAATAGGGGTTTATCTGTTGATAATATGGTTTTTAAACCCATAATAATAATAGGGGTTTATAAACCGTTGATAATTGGGTCTATAAACCGTTAATACTAGGGTCATTTAACTGTTGATAATAGGGGTCTTTAAACCATTAGCACAGGGGTAGGGAAATATTGATGACAGGGTTATACATGGTATTGATGATAGAGACTACCAGTATTAACATGTTAATACCTTACTCAAGACTTTTGCCACACACAAGGGGACACACGTGGAAACTCAGTACCCAGATGAGCCACAGAGACGTTAGAAAGAATTTTTTCAGTGTCAAAGTAGTTAATAAATGGAATGCATTAGGCAGTGATGTGGTGGAGGCTGACTCCATACACAGTTTCAAATGTAGATATGATAAGAGCCCAGTAGGCTCAGGAATCTGTACACCAGTTGATTGACAGTTGAGAGGCGGGACCAAAGAGCCAGAGCTCAACCCCCGCAAACACAACTAGGTGAGTACAACTAGGTGAGTACACAACACCAGCAACAACTACAACAACAGCAGCAACAACAACAATAACAACAATAACAACAAGAGAGGCGGATAAGCACAGGTGAATTCTGTTCAGCTCTCGGACGCAGGTTCGAATCCTCGTCACGGCCCTTGTGGATTTGTTTATCCCAAGCTGATATTTATATTCCCCTTACTGTTGCCCAAGTTCCCTACTCTTGCCCCAGTCCCTCTATTTGTTTACCTTGTTGGGTATAGTTAAGAGTCTCCTCTGAAAAAGAATAAGAGACAGACTAAGAATGTTTCATCCTGTAAAGCATTGTCCTGTCTTTTATTTGGCCACAATACCTTATCCACTCCGATTTATATAATTATATTGGGGAGTCGAGCCAAGGCTCCTCCTCCTCCTCTTACCTACTTACCTACACACTTACCCCACGTTTACTTACCCAAGTATTACCTTACCTATTGTTTACCTCGTTAGCTAATCGTTCCTTGTTGACGCTTCCCAGTGCGTCACTGGTGACTGACTCTCACACTGACTCTCTCACAATGGCTCGCTCTCTCTCTCTCTCTCTCTCTCTCTCTCTCTCTCTCTCAAGACTG